GTAGTAGTAGTAGTAGTAGTAGTAGTAGTAGTAGTAGTAGTAGTAGTAGTAGTAGTAGTAGTAGTAGTAGTAGTAGTAGTAGTAGTAGTAGTAGTAGTAGTAGTAGTAGTAGTAGTAGTAGTAGTAGTAGTAGTAGTAGTAATAGTAGTAGCAGTAGTAGTAGTAGTAGTAGTAGTAGTAGTAGTAGTAGTAGTAGTCGTAGTAGTCGTAGTAGTCGTAGTAGCAGTAGTAGTAGTAGTGGTGGTAATGGTAGTGGTAGTGGTGGCAGTCGTCATAATAATAGTTCTAGTACGACCAACATTAACATTCATAACACTGCTGCCACCAACTCTTGCAATCATATCCACCATACTTTACTAGTACTGCTAATGAAACTATCCAGGGTAATACTACGACGAATCCCCATAACTAGAAGACACAGGCTAAGTATACTAATAGTAATGATAAGAAGAAACATCAGACGAAAAATACCAACACTATCAAGAAGAGGATTCTTCTAGCAATCGTATTATGAGTAATCAGAAGAGGATGAGGAGGAGGATGAGGAGGACGAGGATCGTCAATTGATGATCGAGAATCGAGGATCGAGGATCGAGTTTGTTTGTTTGGGGGGTGGGCGGGGTGCGGGAGGCGGTAGTTTGTCTTTTGTTTGTTGGCCTTTCGGGGCCTTCTGGGGAAAGGGAGGAGGAGGAGGAGGAGGAGGAGGAGGAGGAGGAGGAGGAGGAGGAGGAGGATAATGGGGAGGAGGAGGAGGAGGAGGAGGAGGAGGAGGAGGAGGAGGAGGAGGAGGCGGATGGGGAAGAAGGGGAGGAGGGGGAGGAGGGGGAGGAGGGGGAGGAAGTCGGGGTCGGAGGCAAGGGGTGGGTGGGAGGACTGGGGCTGGAGCAGCACGAGGCGCGGGCAGGAGGGGCGAGTGAGGAGGGGGAGGAGGGGGGCGCCGTCCGCTCGGCCGCTCCCCTCGGCCCCCCGCTCCTTTCAAGCAGCGGCAAAGCGTCCTGGTTTCTAGGCCTACCGCATAATGTGCCAAGGACCATTTGTGGTTTGCATGCGATTTTCTTTGAACATTTTTGGTTGAGACCGTCTGTTTTTAACACGTCGGCCTCATGTTCTAAGAACATTGGTTTTGTCTGGAGAAGTGTTTGGTATACGAACATTTCGTGGGGGCTTATCGGGATGCTGGGACGGTTGGTCTCTGCTCAATCCTTCTCCCTTTTGCCTTCACAAGCGTAGGCCTCGCGCGAGGTTGCCCCACTTGGCCGTGTGTTGCGGTATTCGGGTCTGGCGGACTCCGCGGTGGCATGTATTCGGCCGGGGGCAATCCTGAGGTGCCTGTTTTAGCCCCCTTCTCGCACGCCGTTTTCGGCTCAGTGATCGTGTGCCCGAGGTGCAATCTTAGTATTGTCACTCCCAAGCGCTGTTTTTTTCCGCCCCGCATGATCGCAGCGACGCAGGTGCGTCGCTCTTGGAGGAGTGGGGACCCGGCCACTCTGCCGTTGCAGCGGCAACATCTATCCTCCCATGAACGTGCGCGCCACCCCAAGGGAGTCCACTTCGCCCGACTCCAACCACTGCCCCTCGTCCCCCTGTGCTCCTTCTCCCACCCGGGGAGACATCGGGCAAGGCATCCAATCCCCCAGGACCCATACACGGGCGTTGCTCCCCAAGTCCGTCACAGGGCACCCCGTGTTTGCCGCACAAATCTGAGATTGGGCAGTAATCGGAGCTCGTGGCCATTAGCTGCTGACGCACGTACTCGGTATGCCGACTCTGCAAGGCCCATCACGGGTTTACACACTCATTCTTTTGATCACCTCCTTGGGATGCGGCTTCCATGAGTCCCCGTCCGCCTCCGCCTCCTCCTCCTCCTCCTCCTCCTCCTCCTCCTCCTCCTCCTCCTCCTCTCCCTTCTGCGATCTGCGATCCGACGGCGGTTTCCCCTCGGCCCCCATTCTGAGGGCCTGACGTAGGCCAGAGGGGAGGTCTGTCCAGCATCCTATGTTTTTCCTCGCTACGAAGTCTCCCGCTGTCCTCCTCGTCCTTGAGGCTGGCAGCGCTCGGAGGCGGTCCGGAGAGGGCGCGGGTGTGCTGACCACCTGCTGCCTGCTCCCTGTCTCTGGGGCAAGATGCAGGGCGAGGGCGAGGAAGAGAAGGGGAAGGAGGGGATAGAGGGAAGACGGCACGGACGAGGATGAGAGGGGGACCGAGGAGGGGGAATGGGATCAGGAAGAGGAGGAGGAGGCCGAGGAGCCGGCGGGGCGAAAGGGGGGGCGGGGGAGGAGGCAAGCCCTGGCGTCTTTTGGCCTTTCTCTTCTTCCGCCCGCGGCCCCGGGGCTCCCCCCCCCGTCCTCTGGGGCAGCTCGGCGCCCCTGGGCCCGCCCCGGGATCGCTCCGTGTCCCGCGGGCGGGCCAGAGGCCGAGGTCCAGGAGCAGCGCCAGCATTGCACACATCACGTCGTCGGAGGCGGGGCGGGCGGCCACGGGGGGGCCGGTACAGTCGACCCGCACAGTGGGGACGGGCAACCTTCCCAAAGCCACCACTGCATTCTTGCCTTCTCTGCCCACCCTTGGCCACTTTCGTTGGCCGCGCCCCGCTCGAAGCGCTTCGAAGTGGGCGTTCAAGGCCCTTGCATCCTCATCGCGCATCCTTCTGACACGGGCCGACTGTGCAGTCAGGGCGCTGAAAACTGGAGCACTCTCGGCTCAGGAGGTGTGCTTTGGTGTTCGGGCCGTCCCTTCGTCTGTACTCCCTGCGGTGATGCACCGTGGCTGCAGACGGTGGGGGGGATCGATCGGGGGCAACGATGCGGGGGGGGGATAGGCATAGGGGGGGATGCATCGACCCCCACTCGCCCAATGATCGCCGATAGGGGCGCGATAGCATGAACCTGCACAGGAAGGCGCGGATTCACTATCGGGGGCCTATCGCCGATCTACCCGCGATGCATCGCCGATTCCAGGTCGATGCATCCCCCCTGAGCCAGTCCCCCCCTGCCGTGGCCCCTCAACCGAGGCTCTGCAGGGAAGTGGCCCCGCGGGCCCAGACGGTGCAGAGGTGGTGCACGTTTCCCCCCCCCCCCCCGTCGTCTGCTGCACCCCCCCCCCTCGCCGTGTGACTGACTCGGCACCGCTCGGACGTGTGCGTTTTTTCACCTAACAGCGAAGACTGATAGGTTTCTAGTGGGGTCAAAAGAGAGCATCCTGATTCCCCAGGGGGGTCTGGGCAGGATCCGGGGGATGCTGGGGAAAACCGGGGACTCCCCACAACCTTATCCCAGGCCACATTTTGACTGCCCGGAACGGACAGAACACCATTCCCAGGCCACATTTTGAATGCCCGGAGCCAACTGTAAGCCACTTCGTGTTCTTCGTGCTCCCAGAACACCGTTCCCAGGTCACATTTTGAATGCCCGGAGCCAACTGTAGGCCACTTCGTGTTCTTCGTCTTCCCAGAACACCATTCCCAGACCACATTTTGAATGCCTGGAGCCAACTCTAGGCCACTTCGTGTTCTTCGTGTTCCCAGAACACCATTCCCAGGCCACATTTTGAATGCCCGGAGCCAATTGTAGGCCGCTTCGTGTTCTTCGTGTTCCCAGAACACCATTCCTGTACCATATTCTGATTGCCCGGAGCCAACTGTGGGCCACTTCGTGATCTTCGTGTTCCCAGAACACAAATCCTGTGCCATATTTTGAATGCCCGAGCTGAGGCAGGCTGAGGCCGAGGCAGGCTGAGGCCGAGGCAGGCTGAGGCTGAGGCTGAGGCACGCCGAGGCAGGCTGAGGCTGAGGCTGAGGCAGGCTGAGGCTGAGGCTGAGGCTGAGAGGCGAGGCTGAGGCTGAGGCTGAGGCAGGCTGCAGGCTGAGGCTGAGGCAGGCTGAGGCTGAGGCAGGCTGAGGCTGAGGCAGGCTGAGGCTGAGAGAGGCTGAAGGCCTGAGGCTGAGGCTGAAGGCAGGCTGAGGCTGAGGCAGAGGCAGGCTGAGGCTGAGGCTGAGGCAGGCTGATGCTGAGGCAGGCTGAGGCTGAGGCTGAGGTGATGCAGGCTGAGGCTGAGGCTGGCTGAGGCTGAGGTGAGGCTGAAGGCAGACTGAGGCTGAGGCTGAAGCAGGCTGAGGCTGAGGCTGAGGCAGGCTGAGGCTGAGGCAGGCTGAGGCTGAGGCTGCAGGCTGAGGCCGAGGCAGGCTGAGGCTGAGGCTGAGGCAGGCTGAGGCTGAGGCTGAGAGGCAGGCTGAGGCTGAGGCTGAGGCTGAGGCCGAGGCAGGCTGAGGCTGAGGCTGACGCAGGCTGAGGCCGAGGCAGGCTGAGGCTGAGGCTGAGGCAGGCCGAGGCTGAGGCAGGCTGAGACTGAGGCAGGCTGAGGCAGGCTCAGGCCGAGACAGGCTGAGGCTGAGACTGAGGCTGAGGCTGAGGATGAGGCCGAGGGAAGCTGAGACAAGGTGAGGCTGAATGAGGGGGAAGGGGGGTGGAGGGAGGAGGGGAGGCTGAGGCAGGCTGAGGCCGAGGCAGGCTGAGGCCGAGGCAGGCTGAGGCTGAGGCTGAGGCAAGCCGAGGCAGGCTGAGGCTGAGGCTGACGCAGGCTGAGGCCGAGACAGGCTGAGGCTGAGGCTGAGGCCGAGGCAGGCTGAGGCTGAGGCTGAGGCAAGCCGAGGCAGGCTGAGGCTGAGGCTGAAACTGAGGCAGGCTGAGGCATCCGTAGGAATCCATAGGAATCCTTAGGCATCCCTAGGAATCCTTAGGAATCCGTAGGCATCCTTAGGAATCCGTAGGCATAGTCAAGCATCCTCAGGAATCCTTAGGATTCCTCAGGAATCCTTCGGAATCCCTAGGAATCCCTCGGAATCAGGATTCCTCAGGATTCCTAAGGTTTCCTAAGGATTCCTATGGATTCCTAAGGATGCCTAAGGATGCCTTAGGAATAGGAATCCTTAGGATTCCATTGGATCCTAAGGCCGTTGCCACTGCGACTGTCATTGCGAATGCGACTGCGACTGCCAGAACCCCAGAATTCTACAATTGGATTCTCACCTGAGTCTTAAGGGGAATGCTTCCAGATATGCTTATACGCATCGCTGTTAGGTTGCTTTGCCGGGATAGTTTTTTCCTCTCTCTCTCTCGGCGATGGCCATCGAGGAGCATCTTGGATCGCCGTGCGGAAAAGACGCGCACGAGGCCGACAGCCTGCACGGGGAGTGGACGTCCGAGCGACGGCGAGGCGAGCGCACGCCCGAGGAGACTTGGGAGGCGGGGTGGCGGAGTCGGAGGTGGACCCCTCCCCCCCCCCCCCTGTGCAGCTCTCCTCTGCCTTGGGGCTGCGCAGGCCCCCCGCCCCCCACCCCCTCCCCACATTGCGGCCTCCCTGCCCGCGTCGCACGCCCAATCGCCCCGCTCGACGATCCTCAGGACGTGCATTGGCCTAAGGGTGTGCCTCGGTGGCGGGCGAGGGGGGGAAGTGAGAAGGAGAAGGCCTTCTCAGAAGTCGGCGGGACTTCTCAGAAGCCCTCGCGCCTTCTGAGAGGTTTTGCGCGTCTTCGGGGAAGGCTTCGAAATCTTCTCAGGAGGCCGGGGGACTTACGAGGCTTCTGAGAAGGCCTGCCCATTCTCACTTCCCCCCCCCTGTGCGCGCCGCCGAGTGTTGACCCTGTCCTGCTCCGCCGATAGCGCGCAGCCGGTGTCGGCCATCGTTGCGCCGCCTGTATCGTATCGAAGGGCCTCGGTGGACAGGCACACGCTGGCGCCAACACGCGTTCTGAGGGTCACCGACGCGCAGAGCGTGACAAAGCTCACGGAGATGTTCGAGAACAGCGAGCTCGAAGACGCCAACGAGCGCCCGGGCCCGCCGCTTCCTCCTCCTGCGGGCAGGCAGGGACAGACGCGCCTCTCTCAGGACGGCGCCAGAACGTTCTCTTGGGCGCTGTGGGGGCGATTTTGGGGGCCTCTTGGGCCGTCTTGGGTCGTCGGAAAGCCGAGAAGAAGCGAATGCCAAAATCCTTCAAACGCCTAAGGCAAATCAATGATTTTGGCCTCTTCGGGCCCTCCTAGAGGACCTCTTGGAGGCCTCTTGGGCCGTCTTGCCCCCCAAGCTGGGGTCCTTCGAGTCTCCCCCGAGCCCTTGGAGTCTCTGTCAAGTCCTTCCAGGGCTTTTCGACGCTTCCTCCCTCCTTCCTCGCCCCTTTCCCTTTCAGGAGGGAAAAAAGCACACAGACACAATTAATCGTCGATTCCGCGGAATATATAAGAAAATATGGGAAGTGGGGGGGAATACAAGACCCCGCAAATACGGGAAAATATTGGGGATGCTGTTATTTGTGTGTATTTATTTGTGTGTCCCAGGGCCCCTTCACCTCCGCCCTCCCTTCTCCCTGCCACCTCGCTGTTTCGTGCCCTGTCCCTCGTGCCTGGTCCCCCCCCGGGAGATCCTCGAGGACTTCTCGGAGTGCTTCTGGAATCGTCCGAGGACGTCCGAGAATTGCGAAAACGTTTGAAGACATACGAACACCGTAGATAACCGCGGGGGAAGATCGCATTGGAGGTTAAACGTACCCCAGAACAGACGCACCCAACGGCTGCGTTTTGGCGTCCACCGTGGCTGGATCTGGGGCCGCTGCGACACCTCACTCGGGGGACGTCGTCCTGGGGGTACGCTTGGGCCTTCCCCATGCTGTGCCGCTCCCCTCCAGGTATCCAGCGGATCCACCTTCTCAACCCATGCTACCCCCGAGTTCTCGACCCGCTTCATTGGGCCGTTTGTCCCTCCCGGGGTCGAACCAAAACCTTCGACACTGGAGAGCGGGGAGGTCTCGGGACGTCGTCGCCGGAGTCTTCAGAGACCTCCGGAGGACTCCAAGAGCGTTTCAGACCCTCGATCTTCGAGAGGCTGCTTCTTTCTCTTTCCGCCCCCCTCCGGGGTACTGGTAATGATCGTGCCGCACCCTCCTGGGGTAGCAGTGATGATCGCAGTTTTGGGGATCGGCAGCCTTGAGACCGGGGTGAATGCAAACGGGGGTCGGCCAGAACGCCCGCTCTTGCAGGATCCTGCAGGGCCAGGGTCGCATTGACCCGGGCTCGGGTGCAGGATCTTGCGTGCTCTTGCAGCATTCTGCAAGGCCTGACTGACCTGGGTCTGGTTTTGGGAGTCTTTTTCGGGTATTTGTTATTTTTCATCCAAGATCCGCCTGTGGGACATGCCCGACCTGATTATAGCACCCGCCCGGGAGCGGGCGGGCAGGCCTCTTTACCAGCCTGGAACATATCCCTATCCCTATGCTGGGCACCTCCTCATTACGATGCCAATCTTAGGGATTCCCTTATTTTTTGAGGGCGGATCCCTGAGATTGTCATCGCCTTTTGGCGTGTCAATCTTAGGGATAGGGATTACAGCACCCGCCCGGGAGCGGGCGGGCAGGCCTCCGTCGCTCGCGCGCGCGCGCCGCAGGAGCTGAAGGGGGCCAAGGCCCGCCGGGCCAGCCTGGAGGCGGGCCGCGGGCCTTGGCCGGGCGCGGCGGCGGGCCCGGATCGGGAGCCGTGAGACTCGGAGGCGACGATAGGGGCGAATAGCCCAGGGGGGAGCAATACACGTATCCACGGGCGCCGATGGTACATGCCTTCGGTGAGGCTCCGCGGCGAATGCGTGTAATGTCTGTGGAAAGGACTACCACAACTGGTACTCCTGGCATCACTTTGGTGGCACAACGTTGCTCTCCCACTCCGTGGTGCTCCTCTTCCTCCCTCGGCTATTCGCCCCTATCGTCGCCCCCGAGAGACGGGTGTCGATGCCAACGGGGGTCGGTCAGAGCGCTGGGTTTTGCAGGAACCTGCAGGGCCAGGGGCGCACTGACCCGGGCTTGGGTGCAGGATCCTGCAGGATCCCGCAGGATCCTGCAGGATCTTGCAAAGCTTGACTGGCCCGAGTCTGGATAGACCCGGGTTAGTAGATCCCCGACCTGAGATCAGGGCTGGGCGAAGCGGACACCAAGGAGGCAGACGAGGATTACGACGACGACGACGACGAGGAGGGCGACGACGACGACGACGACGAGGACGACGAGGACGACGACGACGACGATTACGACGACGACGACTTGGAATCCATTGCCCTTGTGTTGTGAGGCAGTTGTATAGGAGGGGGTACAGAGGGCAGAGTCTTTACACAGCTGGGAGGAATTCGTCAGTTCGGCATGGGTCGGGCTTGAAGTGCCTCAAAGAGAGCGCGCACACCCCACTCGTAAGCACATGGCTATATGTGGACCGAGGACATTTTGCTTCCCGTCGTTTTCTTCCCCCTTGCTCCGTTCCCCTCCTTTCTCCCCCCCTGGATGGTGTCGAAAGCGTCCGCGGCTGGGGCGGGAGAGAGCCCGTGACCGCCTCCTCCATTATTTTTCGTTGTTGTTTGCCTCCCTGCTCCGCTGTCCGTCGTCCTACCTCGTCCCCTTCCTTGTTCAAACAAGGGAAATGGAGTCTTCGGTGCCGCGTGCCTGTATCAGCGACATACCGCCCGTTCGATACCCGAGCAGAACGGCGCAACCAAACAGAGGGGATTGCCAATGCAAGCGTTCGGGGCGCATTCCAAGCGCGGGCGGCAACGGGCGCCAAACACCGTTGGGGGCCGCCTTGGTGCCGCATTTCACCGTGGCCGCCCTGGGTGGGAAGCTTGTAATTGCAATCCCCTCGGGGCCGCCCTGGGCCAGGAAAGTGTGTATTTGCATCCCCCCCTAGCAGGGCACGTCGAGTTCGGTTCTGCGCTGGCAGAGTCGGGGCGCCCACGGGGTGGCGAGCGTTTATTCTTTACACGTATCAAGGTGTGATTTGTGTACACAGCCAGCGTCTTCAACTGTGCATTTGCGTGTGGACCGTTTACACACGTCGTGGTGTGATATGCGTGCGCAGATCTTGTTCCCATCTGTGTATTTGGACTGCGCCCCTCGCTGGAGGTGTTGTTTGAGTGGGAACTTTCACGTTTTTTTTTTTTTTTTTTTTTTTTTTTGTTTTCTCTCTTCTTCGGTTGGTCCATGGGAGGCGTTGTGCGCGGTCTGTTGTACGCGGTCGAACTATTTTCGCAGCTCGTGTGTCCAATTGTGCATGTGTTGGGCGCCATTCGCTGGAGTGTTCACTGGGTGGGAGTTTCCGCGGATCTCTCGGCTGGTCCAGGGGGGGGGGGGGCGTGGTCTGGGAGGGCAAAGGCAAAAGGCGCGGGGAAAAGGGGATGCGGGGCATGGGAATGAATGGGTTCGAGGGGTGGCGAAGGTGCTGGGGGATGACAGTGACAGGACGGGAAGGGAGAAAATGGGCCAACGAGAAATTGTCTTATCTGTGTCAGCAGCATGGGGACGACGAAGGCGGGGGTGACAGAGGGAGGGGGGATGATTTGCACTAGGGCGTCGAGGATGGGAGGGCGGCAGGGGTGTGGATGATGGCGGGACGCACCTGGCGGAAGAGGACGAGGAGGAACGACATGAATTGGCAGATGGGGGAGTTGAGAATGAGGAGGAAGGGCCTGAAAAGACGGGATGGGGTCGGAGGGGCGTGAGGGGGTGGGGCGAAACCGAAAGGATATCGGGAGGAGGCGGGGGATGGGGCATTAGGGTCAGGCGGACGCCCGATAACGTTCAGCTGATCCGTGTTCTGCGTGTCCATACACACCCCTTGAGCACAGTGGTCGGTTGCAGAATTTCATTCTTTGGGTCGTCGTACACGGCGTGCGTCCAGGCTACAAAGGCTCGAGTCCACGACGCCCCTTGGCGTCGTGTTGATGCCGCCCCGCTTCGCCTGACCGCAGGTGCACAGATAGGTATAATCCATGTGTCAAGGTTTGTTTCGTGATCCTTCCTATAGTAACAGACCAACGCTGGAATTTCAACGACGACGAGGATGACGACGACCAGGAAGAAGGCGCCGACGAGGGCGACGCCGCCGACGACGTGGGCGACGACGAGGGCGACAAGTCGAGGATGGGTGACCCCTTGCCACACAAACCTCTGGTGCCGGCCCACAGGAGTCCTGAACTCTGGCCGTTGCAATTTTCTCACAGCGGACGTTTCCGCCGGTCTTCGTGCCCCAGGGCCAGCGCAGAGCGAGCTGGCTCGATAATTGTCCCGGAAAGATGTGGTCCAGATCTCCGATCGTGATTTTTCCGCGGCGTTCAAAGCTTGTCGAGACGTCGGCTCTCAGAGGGGAGGAGGAGCGTCGGGGCCACCACGGAGGGAGGCGGCTTCGAAGGAAAACCGATCCCGGAGGACTGTCCCGCCGCTTTTGGTTTCCCGGGGCCCTGCACGGGCCCCCGGGCCGTCCGACGAAACGACTCGGGGTGAGCAGGTGGTCCTGGGTCCTCCTCCGCCTCCTCCGCCTCGTCCTCCTCGTTTCCAGCCTCCTCCGCCTCCGCCTCCGCCTCCGCCTCCGCCTCCTCCTCCTCCTCCTCCTCCACCTCCTCCTCCTCCTGGGAGCCGGTCCTGGGGGGGGGCCCCGGGCTTTCGCACCCGCTTCTCAAGGGCAACGTCAGGGGGGGCAGGCTCGGTGGGGGACGCATCGGTCTCTGATCGCCCCTGGATCGCCGATGGGGGCACGATAGCCCACCCTGCCCAGGACCGCTGGATTCGGTATCGGGGGCCTAACGCCGATCGATCGGCGATGCATCGCCGATTCCGGTTTGATATTTCGTTTTCCCCTCCTGCGCCGGTCCCCCCCCTAACGACGGGCTTGAGGGAAATGGGTTAATCGCTTTCTCGTGGGAATCGGGCTTGAGTTTGAGCAATCGTGTTTGAAGGACATCGGGTATGACGGAAGTGGATCAAAAAGTGTCAGCTCGTGATTTCTCGCGATGTTGCAGCGTTTGAAAACACGACAACATCGCAAACAATCATGACAGGGCGTGGCCGTGGTTCTTGCCCCCCCTCCCCCCATGATCTCCAGGGAGTCCCCCGCCGCCCCAGATTTCCCCCCGTCCTGCAAGATATGACGACGAACGTTGTTGTTTGGCACTTCTCGGTCTATGGAGAGCCCTTCTGCCAGGCCCCAGGGCCGTCAAAAAGCGGCTCGGGATGAGAAGCTGGCCCTGAGCAAAAGGTCTGGACCTCCAGGGGTCCACGCTGAACACCGCGTCGGACTTTCAGGGGCCTCTGGATAGCCCTCTCGCGTGGCCCAGAGGGCCCCAGCGTGGAGGCGAGCAGCCTGGGACACTTGAGGCCAGGGACCCCTCAGCCGCCCTCTGGAGGGGGCCCTTGCCTCCTGGGTCCAGGTCGGCGACAACTTTGAACCCTACCTCCCCGGCGTTTACTTCATTCGGGAGCTCCCGAGCGAAGTGAGCCCCCACGCGAAATCGCAGGGGGTGAGGGTAGGGTTCGCACGCGGTCGCCTACCAGGGAGTCGGGTCCCCCGCGGGGGCGCTGTGATGTGATCGCGCGTCGCGCGTCGCGGTCTGGGTCGGAGCTGTGGCCCTTCTCTCCAGGCGTGCAGCGCGGTGGCGCGAGGAGATTTTCGCGCGTGGCGCCTCGCGGGGCGTGATGCCTCAAGAGGCCGACCAATGCGCAACACCAGGCATGACCGCGTCGTTACAAGATCAGGACGGGAGTCTTTTCGCCAATTTCGGCTTTGGGGAGCCATCGCCGGGCCTCGGGGCCGTCGAAAAACGACTCAGGATGAAAAACCGGTCTTGGGGAAAGGGTCTGGACTCCCAGGGACCCCGTATGGAACAAGTCAGGCCGTCGCATGTTTGGGACTGCAGAAACATAAACAGAGGTCCGCGCGGACCTCCGAAAGTTTTGGTTTATCCACATTTGTTGCCCTCTCTAGTCGAACAAGCAGCCGCCGCGTTTTCGTTTGCGCCGTCTGGGTATGAGGGGGTGGCTCAGGGGGTGAGCCGTCCGCGAGGCGCAGTCGGCGGAGCTGGAGGCTCAGATCATGCAGCAGAAGATGCTGGGTTGCTGCCAGGCCAGAGCGCCGATCAGCGTTTTCCGCAGAGGGGGAGGAGGAGGTTGCGGTGAAGGAGGAGCAGGGAGTACGGAGGAGGGGGGGGGTCGAACCGGTGCCCCCCCTCCCTCTTGAATTGCACGGGGGCAGGGAGGTTCGATTCGGCCCCTTTGGGGGGGAGTGCTCGAACGGCCCCCCCCCACCCCGCTGAATTTCAACGTGGGGGATTCGAGCCTTCCCTCGCCAGTGGCAAACGACGACGCCGAGCTCCGGCGCCTGCGCTGGCGCCGGGGCCGTCGGGCACCGACGACGACAGCAACAACGATCATTTAAAGAGCGTTCGTTCGTTGAAGACACGCGTGTCATTCAACATGAAAGTCCCGCACCCTCGATACCCGCCCTTTTCGTCTCCGACCGAACCCCCCTTGGGGCATGTCTTCCATACTTGCCACATGTACAGTCCACCCGCATGGTAACGATGGGCAACCTTCCCAAGGGTACCCTCGCATCCTTGCCCCTTCGGCCCATCCTTAGCGACTTTCGCTGGCCGCGCCCCGCTCGCAAAGTGTCGACATGGCCTTCCAAGGCCCTTGCATCCCCGCATCCTTGTGATACGTGTTGACTGTAGCTGGCGCAATCCAACAAGCAGGGGAAGGAAGGGGAGAGGGAAGAGACAAGGGGCGATTTACAGGAGGGGTGGGGTTAGGATTAAGTCGGGCCTGTCCCTCTACAGGGGGAATGTTCAAAAATAATGGAAACAAATAGGCTGGGGACAACTTTTCGAATATCTTTGTGGCCATTTTGGTGTACTTTTTTTTTTTTTTTCGTCCAAAGTCCCCCTGTGGGTGGAGAGGCCCAGTCTAAGGGTAGGAGCAAGAGTACAAGCCGCAAAACCAGACGGGCGGGTCGGGCGGGTGGACCGTGACGGGTAGGTCGGTCGGGCGGGCGGGCTCCAACGGCGTCTGTTCGAGCAGCGTGCGCGGGGGGGCGAGCAGCACATGGTGCGGAACAAGGCGCGGTTGCCTGGTCCAAGACGGTGTTGCACTGCTCGACATAGCTCGGATGGTGCGCCAAATGCAGATGCACAACACATCTACGATATTCGTTTGCGTTATGGAAAAGCGTCGGAAGGTTTCGCTGTCCCCCCCCCAAAGGAAACAACGACACATGCAAACTATTCGAAACAGCCCAGCAGCCACCATAACCCACAACCGATCTCCGATCTGGGGAACTACCGTTGCGAGAGTTTGTTGGAGTTGTTTTTTGATGACGTTACTTATTATTTCGCGCTCTGCACGAAGGTCGGATTTGCAGGAAACTAGTTCAGATATGCGAATCCAGTGCGATTTAGCATATGTGCAACAAGGGTTGACTTACAGTTAGGTCTCTCGGGCGAAGTGTGACACTGTGCGTATTTGGCGCGTCGGGGAAACATGACATATGTCGTGCGCCAGGTGCAGCCACCATGTGAGGGTTGTTCCTTGTATTCGTTTGGCTGAGCCTCACAAGAGCGGGAACTGGCGACCATTTGGGAATTGGAGACTGCTTGTCAAAAGCTTCCACCCTCAAGAGGAGCGGGGCTTCCGTCGAGGCTTTCTCTTTTTGTCGTCGATGTCAAGCAGCAGTGCCTCTTCTTCCTCCCTCCCTCCCTCCCTCCCCCCCCTCCCCCTTCATCTTTCTCTTGGGCATGCTGTTGGACCTCGTGGACCCGAAGCGTCATCCTCCTTCCGTTTCCTCCTCCCATCCCCCTTGTCCGGCGACCGCTGGTTTCGCCGACGGCTGGTTTCGCCGCCTGGCTGGTTTCGCCTGGCTGGTTTCGCCTGGCTGGTTTCGCCGCCCGTCGAAACCAGCTCCGTGGGCGAAACCAGCGGGGCGAAACCAGCGCCTGCGAAACTGGCGCCAGCGAAACCAGCCGTCGCGGCGAAACCAGCGGGGCGAAACCAGCGCCGGCGAAACCAGCTCATGATGGTCCTGTTTTCAACCATCACCACCAAAGTTGGAGGGGGGAAGGAGGTGGAGGAATAGGAGGAGGAGGAGGACGACGAAGAGGAGGAGGAGGAGGAGGAGGAGGAGGGCCCCCCTCCAACTCATGGTGGTGGTGGTGGTGGTGAAAGCAGGCCTATCCCGTCCGCCCCCTCCCTCCCGCCCCCCTCCTCCTCCTCCGCCTCCTCCCTCCTCCTACCTCTCTCTCCTCCTCCTCCTCCTCCTCCTCCTCCTCCTCCTCCTCTCCTCCTCCTCCTCTCCTTCCTCCTCCCTCCTCTCCCTCCCACCTCCTCCTCCTCCTCCTCCTCCTCCTCCTCTCTCCTCCGCCTCCCTCCTCCCTCCTCCCTCCTCCTCCCCTCCGCCTCCTCCTCCTCCTCCTCCTCCTCCTCCTCCTCTCCTCCTCCCCCCTCCCTCCTCCCTCCTCCTCCTCCCGCCTCCTCCTCCGCCCCCTCCCTCCCGCCCCACCCCCCCCGCGCCGAGGCGCAGAGGAGCCTCGACGGCTCTGCCCTGCCCGTGTCCTCGCTGGCTTGGCGAAGCTGCGCCGGCGGCGCGCGCCTCCCGTCGTCGTCGTCGGCGTCGTCGTCGTCGGCGTCGTCGTCGTCGTCGTCGTCGTCACCTCGCTCCTCCCTCCTCCCTGCTCCCTCCTCCTCCCTCCCTCCTCCCTCCTCCCTCCCTCCCTCCCTCCTCCCTCCTCCCTCCTCCTTCCTTTGCTCCGCGCCGCCGCCGCCGACCGCCGATCGAAGACGACTGTCGACGTGGATCACCATGGAGGATCGAAGAAGAAAATTACCCTGGCGACGTACCAAACCCCTGCGCAAAAACGGGGCGCAAATAGTTTAGGATACTTTATAAGGGGGCGATGACGGAGCGAGGGTTACATATGTCTGCAGACGGAATTCGGGAGACTCGCAGGACACTGGCTACAGGAAAAGGGCTTGATAAAGCTGATGATTTACAATTCCACAGCAGGCCTCGAAAGTGGCGACCGTTTCACAAATTGCAGCCCCCCCAAGGATGGCGAGGTCTAATTTGAATATGCGGTGATTACCCACTATGCCGGACCCCCCAGCAGGCCTGGAAAGTGGCGACAGTTTCACAGATCGCATCCCCCCAGGGATGGCGAGGTCTAATTTGAATCTGCCGCGATTACCCTCTATGCTGGACCCCCCAGCAGGCCTCGAAAGTGGCGACAGTTTCACAGATCGCAGCCCCCCAGGGAGGGCGAGGTCTAATTTGAATCTGCCGCGATTAACCTTTATGCTGGACCCCCCAGCAGGCCTCGAAAGTGGCGACAGTTTCACAGATCGCAGCCCCAGGGATGGCGAGGTCTAATTTGAATCTGCCGCGATTACCCTCTATGCCGGACCCCCCAGCAGGCCTCGAAAGTGGCGACAGTTTCACAGATCGCATCCCCCCAGGGATGGCGAGGTCTAATTTGAATCTGCCGCGATTACCCTCTATGCTGGACCCCCCAGCAGGCCTCGAAAGTGGCGACAGTTTCACAGATCGCAGCCCCCCAGGGAGGGCGAGGTCTAATTTGGATCTGCCGCGATTACCCTCTATGCTGGACCCCCCAGCAGGCCTCGAAAGTGGCGACAGTTTCACAGATCGCAGCCCCCCAGGGATGGCGAGGTCTAATTTGAATCTGCCGCGATTACCCTCTATGCTGGACCCCCCAGCAGGCCTCGAAAGTGGCGACAGTTTCACAGATCGCAGCCCCCCAGGGATGGCGAGGTCTAATTTGAATCTGCCGCGATTGCCCTCTATGCTGGACCCCCCAGCAGGCCTCGAAAGTGGCGACAGTTTCACAGATCGCAGCCCCCCCCCCCCCAGGGATGGCGAGGTCTAATTTGAATCTGCCGCGATTACCCTCTATGCTGAGCCCCCCAGCAGGCCTCGAAAGTGGCGACAGTTTCACAGATCGCAGCCCCCCAGGAATGGCGAGGTCTAATTTGGGTCCGCGCGTCGCCCTCACTGTGCTGGGCCCCCCAGCAGGCCTCGAAAGTGGCGACAGTTTCACAGATCGCAGCCCCCCGCAGGCAAGACAGAAAGAGGCAGGAAAGAGGCGGGAGGCGGGAGGAGGAAGGACGCGACCACACTGCTCTATTCAAAACGAATACCCAACCAAGGAGGGTTGGGAAAAACGCATAAACATGAACCTTTGGCGGTCCGCGCGGATTTCTTGGACCCGCGCCTTGGCCCCCCGGCGGCGCCTCTGGCGCCGCCCTTGGCGCGCTCCGCGCGCCAGGGAGGGGAGTCCAGCGCGAATCCAAGGAATCCGCGCGGAGCGCCAATAGTTTATGTTTATGTGGTTTTTCTCCTGCTAGAGGGGGACCAGCGAGCATCGACAAGCCTGGACCGTCTCGGGTCATGGGGAAGAGCTCGGCGGGAGGTTGTTCGTTATGTTCAGGCTCTGGGGGCCCTTGCCGGGCATCGGGCCCGTCTAAAACGACTCAGGATGAACGCCTGGCCCTGGGGAATGTGTCGAGACCTCTGGGGTCGACGCTATGAAGAAATCACGACGCCGGGGATTTGGGAGGATCGACGAGGGCGGACGAGGCGGGACGAGGGTTGACGAGGGGCAACCAGGAAGGACGAGGGTCGTCGACGAGCATCGGCCAGGAGCGACGAGGATCGTCGTTGATCGATCATCGGGCTTCGGCGATCCAGGGTCTGCAGCGTCTTCGGCCCAGTTTCGGGGGGCCTCGAGGGACCTTGGAGGATCTCGGGAGATCCCAAGAGGCCGTTGGGTGGGTCGTTGTCGTCGCCGCTGCCACCAGCGCCGACGTCGTCGTCGTCGTCGTCGTCGTCGTCGTCGTCGTCGTCGTCGTCGTCGTCGTCGTCGTCGTCGTGGTCGTCGTAGTTGTTATTGTCGTTGTCGTTGTCGTTTTCATCGCCCTTCGTCATTTGTCTTCGTCAGTCGTTAGTCTTCGTCAGTCGTAAGTCGTCGTCGTCGTCGTCGTCGTCGTCGTCGTCGTCGTCGTCGTCGTCGTCGTCGTCATCCTCCATTATCATCGTCCTTGTCCTCACCTACACGCAGGCAGCCCTTAGGCGTGTCGTGCCCCTTTACTTGCCTAGGAGCTCCAACTACAGTCCCGAAGGAGGCGCGAGTATCCTGGCCTACGGACACGTCTGGTGCGGCGGCAGGGAGGAGTTGTTTACAAGGACGAGGGATGGCGGAGGAAGAGGAAGAGGAGGAGGAGGAGGAGGGGGAGGACGAGGAGGAGGAGGAGGAGGAGGAGGAGGAGGGAGGAGGAGGAGACGCCAGGTGTGGGGTGGGTGTCCGTCCCGACATCCCAGGGAGCGCCCCTGCCAGCGGTCGGCCAGGATCCGAAAAGGCCCCGGCGGCGCGGCCAACTGTCACCCCTGCGCCGCGGCCTGGAGGGGAGGCTGCCACTCTGTGCGGGGGTGCGGGGGGGTGCTTTTCGCGAGGACGCGGCGGACCGCCCCGCGTCGCACGTCGCGCTTGGGCGCGAGCTGGCGCGGAGCTGGGCGACCCTCAGGGGCAACGTCGGTCGGCGGCGAGCGAGGGGGGAAAGTGAGAAGGAGAAGGCCTCCTCAGACGGCGGCGGGGCTTCTCAGAGGCCCTCGCGCCTCCCGAGAAGTTTTCTCTGCCGTCGGTGAAGGCTTAGGACACTTCCGAAAGGCCAGGGTAGGCCTATAGGATTGCCGCGACGGTCGGTCCCTGCTCAAGAGAAGCGTGGCCGCTGCCTCCTCACCCCCCGCGGCGCTCGCGCGAGGGCTGATGCGGGTGGCCGTCGGCAGCCACGACCAGAACGTCCACGTTTTCGAGGCGGGGCCTCGACCGCGCCGCAGTCGGCGCGTCGTCGTCGTCGTCGTGGTCATCGTGCGCGTCGTTGTCGTCGTCGTCGTCGTCGTCGTCGTCGTCGTCGTCGTCGTCGTCATCGTGGCCGTCCTTCCGCCGCCAGGTGACCAGCGAGGAACTCCTGGCCCCCTGAAGGAAGCCCGCGGCGCTCCCACCCCACCCCCCGCTCCTCCGCCCCCCCGTTCGTCGCAACGGCGAAGAAGGAAAGGCTCCCAGCGCGGGAGGAGGGAAGAAGGGGAGAGGAGAAGGTGGAGGAGGAGGAGGAGGCGTGGCGACGAAGAGGGAGGGCGTGAGGAAGGGAGGAGGAGAAGGAAGAGGAGGAGCTGGAAGAGGAGGAGGAGGAGAAGGAGGAGGATAATGATGCAGGAGGAAGAGGAGGGGGGTTAGGGAGGGAGGGAGGGAAGGAGGGAGGGAGTGAGAGAGTCAGGGAGGACGCGGGGCTCCACAGGGTCACTGCAGCAAACTAAACCAGGAGGAAAAGTAAACTAGAGTGCCTGGGGGTAGACGGTGCACTAGGCGCCCACGTTGGGCGGCGGACGCTGGGGAAAAAACCTACCCCGCGTTGTCCTCGACCCACTTTCTGGGGAGGGTGGGGCAGTCACGACCCAGCCGTGGAGACAAGAAATCACCAGAAGAAATCGCCAGCCGCGGCGACGAGGACACCAGACCCGAGCCCCAGCCGCGGCGACGAGGACAGCAACAAGCGCGCCCAGCCGCGACGACCGCGCGGGGGCGTTCACACAATGTTCGCCCCTCGGCCTCTAACAAAAAAACACCTACCTAGGAGGGTGGGTGTAACGGGGTCCCCAAGGAGGGAGGGCCCGCCAACAGAGACCCACGAGGGTCGGAGGCTATCCTTTGCCACGCTGTCGCGGGGGCAGCCCGCGAGAGACCCGTTCGATCTCTGCGAGCTGCTTCCGCCGCTCCGCGGGTGCCTTTGCAGCTCCTGGACAGGGCTTGCGACGCTGGCGGGCGGTGCGCGGAGCCTGAATGTCACCGGTTCCCGCACACCGCCTGCAGCAGAGTCGTGGCCAAGCTGCGTGAAGATGGGCTCAATCACTGGGTGGGCCTCATCTCCGGCCACCTCCTGCTCTTGGCCTGCCTCCTGTGCGGCGGGAAACTGGTTCCCGCTCGCACCCAGCTGTCGACCACCAGCAGGCTCGTAGGAGGAGGGAGGGAGGGAGGGAGGGAGGGAGGGAGGGAGGGAGGAGGAGGGGGAGGAGTACGAGGCGGAGTACGAGGAGTACGATGGTGGTGATGATGATGATAATGATGATGATGGTGGTGGTGGTGGTGGTGATGGTGGTGATGATGATGATGATGAGGATGGTGATGGTGATGATGAGGATGAGGATGATGATGATGGTGATGATGATGCTGATGATAACGATGATGATGATGCTGATGATGATGACGATGATGATGCTGATGATGCTGATGACGCTGATGATGACGATGATGCTGGTGGTGGTGGTGGTGGCGATGACGCTGATGTTGATGATGGTAATGCTGATGGCCGTGATGATGGTGATGATAATGCCGAAGAATAATGATGATGATGATGATGATGATGGTAATAATGTTGTTGTTGATGATGATGCTGATGATGCTGATGATGATGAGGAGGAGGAGGACGAGGAGTTGGAGGAGGATGAGGAGGTGGAGGAGAATGAGGAGGTGGAGGAGGTGGATGCTGATGATGATGCTGATGCTGATGATCGCGGAACCATACTTTGGATAGAGAGCAGCCTCCACAGGTTTCCGATCTCACATTTCCCTCAACAGTTACTGCTCGTTCGACAACGACAGCCAGAGCATCGAGTAACTACTACAAGAGTTCCTATTTCCGCATCTAATCATCTCCAGTGTTTGCAAGCCGCGTTTCGGCTGTCGCTCTCTGGTCTCTATATGTTGCTCGCGCCCCCGACTTTTATTCACTATCACGCTAAGGGTTACCCAGGATGTGTTCGGGGTGGGTGGACTCTCATGCTCTTGTTCACGCACGCTTTCTCTTCGCTCAGTGCACGTGACCTCCGCGAGCCCTTACTCTCAGCTGCTTATTCATTGGCTACAGTGAGTTGCCATTTTCGCACTTCGGCAGGGGAGTGCCTTCAGCACACTCTCACTGTGGTCTACCGGCCACAGTAAGTTACAGAACGCACCACGCCTTCTCAGCAGGTCAGCATCATGTGCGCAGTGCTTTCCCTCACGCCCCCCCCCCTCCCCTCAACTTCTAGTTGCCAGCACACAATCCATCTGGCACACTTTCTGGCCGATTGGCCAAGCAAGCGTTGACTTTGCCAGCCGCTACTCTCAGCTGCTAAAGTACAACAACTTTGGCCAATTAACGCTGCCTAAGACAACCACTTTGCAACACCATCAGTACACATTGCCAGCCATTTCGACATGACAAGCCTTTACTCGGGTGGGGGGCTTTGGATTCTATGGGGTGGATGGGATGCATGTGTATCGTGCCCCCCTGGACTCCAGGGAGTTGGCCCCGCCCGCAGGCATGCTTGACAGCCAGCGGGCGCTAAGCAGTACACCGCACTTTCACTGCTACTGGGCCAGCCCCTCACGGCAGACAACCGCGCGTTTATATAGCTTATTCATGCCTCAGTTGAAGCTCTTGGCCAGCCAGCACCGTCTGTGCCAGCCAGCCCACATGATAGTACGCCGCTTGCTCCACATTGCCACCCGAGGCCAGCCAGGCTGGCATGGCCAGCCGTGGCATGGCGAGGGCGGTGTGCGTGCAGATATGGAGATGATTCAGGAGAGGAAAAAACACACAGACACAATTAATCCTCGATTGCCCAGAAAATATGGGAAGATATGGGAAGTGGGGGAAACGACAGAAATCCAAATAATATGGGAAAATATGGGGAATCCTTTGATTTGTGTGTATTTACTTGTGTGTCCCAGGGCCCTTTTAATGATGGGGCAGGGCGTGCGTGTCGACCGCTGCGAGCGTGTTGGCCGCCGGAGCTAAGCTGCAAACGCGAACCCTGTGGGCAGGGCAGCCCAACATTTACCGCATGCAGCTTTCGTTCAGCTTTGCTTCAACGTATTAAGCCAGCCAAGATCCAAACAGAAAAGAGCCAATTTTGGGAATCTCTGAATGTATACGTCATATGCATCAAGGTGGTTTGAATTTTCATTATGTCAGGTGGTGTACTGTTTCTACTTCTACTTGTTGAACATATTCTTCTGAGCAGAGCCTTTAGTGAAGCAGCGGTAGGAGTCTTGTGCTCACACAGGCCGCATCCAGTCCAGTCCAGTCCAGCCAAGATCAGCCCACAGTGCTTTCAATGTTCTTGGCCCGCCAGTGCCGCCTGTGCCAGCCATTCTACACGACAGGCGCCCGCTTGCTTCACATTAACACGCTCGGCCAATGAGACCGACTTGATCAGCCTTGATCTGTGAGGGGGAGGACTTGGGTCTGGAGGGAGGGTTTATTACCCACGCCTTAAGCTACCACACCAATTTCAGTAGCATTCTGCCACCTCATGCACTGAGCCCCACACACGGGCCTCTGCATGTGCCCTCCCTTCTCTTGGGGACTTTATGCCACTCGTGAGTGTGCAAGCGGATGACATACTTTAGGGCTTTCAACCCCGCATTGCCGACATCAGTCACATGTGCACTGCGCAAGTGCAGTAAGTACACGCCCAGCCGCGCATGCCATTCTGACGCTTGGTTGGTTACACACGCTCATTCAAACACTCGCATCGCAGTCGTGTTGCTGCTCACCTTCAACTTTGTAGTAGGACAAGCTATACTGACCGCGTTTTGTTGTACGGTCATGGCCAGTCAGTACCAGCTAGGCCAGCCACTGCCAGCAACAGCGTGCGGCACTTGTGTAGGCATGCCAGACCGCCATACCGACTGTCAGCCTAATGTTTGGGAGGGTAGGGCTCGGTGTTTTGGGCGGTGGGTGGATCAAATCGCAGCTGTTTACACGAAGGGGGATGCGAGCTGGTATGTTCACACCTCGGTAGGTGACGTGCCCTCCGGGCCATTCCCACGGTGGACTATCGACCACAGCGTTTTTCAATAGTATGCAGCAGCCCTCAACGATACCATGCTTGAAGCCCCTGGCCTGCATGGGGTTGGGTGGAAATACAAGGCTTTGCAATGAGGTGCGAAGCGGATTCAGGTCATGATGTTTGGGTCGTTATCAGAGTACCGCCAATGGTTTATACAGGCCAGCCTGACAACTAGTTAGTCTACTTTTACAGGACAGCCTACAACGTCCTCCCATTCAAAGCTTGCTATACTAGCCAATACTGTTTGTGCCAGCCCTAACCAGATCCACCTCAGTTGCACCGTCGCCTGTTTCTTTTTGACACCTTACATCTACTACAGTGGGACGTGGTTGGTTGCGAGAACCACAGGGCCGAGGAGGATACTCAAGCGACTGGCCTACGTGTCGCACCTGCCCACGATAACTTCTGACGCGCCTTAGGCAGGCCTGCGCTCTACTGTAGTTACTGTACACGTGTATTTTGTTTCCTCCTTTCGTACCTTCCGCCGGTGTATGTGGCACTGTACTACATGTGTTTGTACCCTCCTCCCCACTTCGCACTGCCCAGGCTAGGTTACTCTTGTACTGTGGGGCCATTAGTAGTTTCTTCTCTCGATGCCTTACTTTTACTGCACCTGTCCGCGCCATAGCTGTCTTGGTCGCTCCGCCTAAGTTCGCGCTTCTCTTTCCCTCTTGAAGAACGCAAGCGGCTTGGCCTTAATGATTGCCCAACGTAAGGAGGAGCGCGGCAGTCGGACGACACGGACGAGTAGCAGGCTGAAATTCGAGCCGGGATGATGGTGGCGATATTGATGATGATGATGATGATGATGATGATGATGATGATGATGTTGATGATGATGATGATGCTGTTGATGAGGATGATGCTGATGATGCTGATGGTGCTGATGATGACGATGATGATGTTGCTGCCGGTGATGTTGCTGATGATGATGCTGCTGATGATGCCGATCATGCTGCTGATGCTGATAATGCTGCTGATGATGACAATGCTGATGCTGCTGATGATGTGTATTATGATGACGATGCTGACGACTTTCAACGATGCTGATGCTTATGATGATGGTCATGGAGATTCTGCTACTGCTGATTCTGCTTGTGACGGTGTTGGCGGTGTTGGTGCTGGTGCTGAGGATGGTGGGGAGGTAGTTGATGTATACGCTCATGACTGTGATGCTGATGGCGGTGTTGATGATGTGGGCCATATTAACGATGATGATGATGGTGGTGGTGGTGCTGAAATGGTGGTGGTGGTGGTGGTGATTCTGATGACGATGTTGTTTTTGATGATGGCGACGATGATGGTAGATATCATGGTGATGCTGCCGCTGATGACGACGATGGCGATGATGGCGATGATGGTGGTACTGATCATAGTTATGATGATGAGGAGGAGGCGGACGAGGTGGCGGAGGAGGATGAGGAGGAGGAACCGGTAGAGGAGTATGGGGAAGAGAAGGAGGAGGAGAAGAGGAACGGAGTGGGATTAGGATGGGGAGGAGAATGGGAAAGGAGGAGCGAAGGGAGAGGAGAGGCGATGAGAGGAGAGGGGGATACGGAGGAAGAGTAGGGACCGAGTGGGGAAGGGAGGACGGGGGAGAAGGAAGAGGAGGAGGAGGAGGATGAGGAGGAGGAGGATGAGGAGGAGGAGGAGGAGGTTTTTTGACATCCACCGTGAGTGCTCCGAGCGACGACGGCCGTCGCTCCCTGCTAGCATGCCTGGATGAAGGCAGGCAGGCGAGCAGTGAAAGCGAAAGGGGTATGGCAGGCGCGACAGCCACGGGACGACTTCCTACAGGAGGAGGATCCCCTGTGGCTGACCGCCTGCCCCCCATAGCCCACGACCTATGGAACAGCGAGGTCGGGCTCGAGGCGAGGGCACGGCGGAGGCTCCACTGCGCCATCACCTCGCAAGAGCTCGTCCGAGTCGTCGGACCTCGACGCGCGAGAGTCGATCAGGGGCCCCTCATCCTCGTCCAGGGCGAGGGCCTCTCTGACCCCCGCGAGTCCTGCCGACGGGCTAGGCACGGGCGGTAGCGGCGCAGGCGGGCGCCTCGAAGAGAACGCGAGCCGCCTCCTCTTCCGCTCCCAGAGCGGCGCCGCACCGGTCATGCAAGAGAGGCACGCTCGGGGACACGGCTCCAGCTGCTGGCGCGGCGAGAGGAGAGACACTCACGCGAGGCTCTGGGGGCTCGACCACCAGGCGCACAGCACCAGGAGGCTCAGGCTGGCCTTTTGCAGCCATCATAAGGCGGCGGGGGAGACGGGCTGTCCGCTCCTCGGTGCTTTCAATTGCAAGAGGCGCAGGGGTCTCGACACCTTCAGCCTGGTCACCGTCCGACCAGGGGCCGAGTTCAACAGAAACACCTCTACGCTTTGGGTGCTTCCCTTTACTGACAGGCTTCCAGGCACTCTGCGCGCCTGAACTCTGAGGGGCCCCGTCGCACAACTTGAAAAGGTTGCGAGGCTGACCATGCGATGAGTAGGCTTTGCCCCGCAACCAGATGGTCAGGGCCGCACAGTCGGAACAACGCAAAGCAAACCAATCGTGCCGCAGACTGCCCGGCACACCAGAGTCAAGCTTGGGATCGCTGGAGCACGAACCAGGCAGAGGCGGGTCCAGACCTCCGAGACGTTTCCCCCTGTCGCCAACGCGCGGCACACCGTTGGCAACTCTCAAGCATTCTATGCACTGCGAAAGCGATGTCCAGCAGTGAGGCTTGGGCGGAGCTTTGGGGCGGGGAGGCTTGGGCACAAGAGGCACACAACTAAGACGAGCCTAGGCCACTCAGGCATGAGCTCAGCAGAGACGCGCATAACACACTTGGCAATACTGAGACAACGGTCGAGCCACTCCACATCTTCGGGTTCGGGTTGTGGGTGCCTGGCTAGCGAGTTCTTGGGCACACTGTCGGCAAGGTTGTTATCGAGTTTCCAAAAACGCTGTTGACCGGTGAGGCCACAAGATTCCTCAACGTGGGCCTTTACCTGAAAAATCCCGTCCACCAAGCTCCTATGAGTGGGCAGCAAGAACCCTGAGTACACTCTCATATACGACAGGGAGCGCAACAGGGGTTCATTGGCCTGCACCACTACGTTCTTACAATCAGAACAGATGGAGCTGCCTACTTGGGCCTGTATAGCGGCAACAGCATAGGCCCCGAATCCCCGCTTGAGCAGTTTGGAGGTTGGGGGCCCAGAGAGGACAATTGATACGACAGGTTTCGCTGCTTTCATCATCTACAACTACGATCCCCCACCCAGCCCTGGAGATTTCTTTGATAGGATGCATCAGACATGACCCATCCACAAACATGTGACCTTTAATCTGGAGGGATTTGCACTCTGGGTCATGGGCCCACCTGATCTCCAAGCCAGAACTTTCGACATCATCATGGAAAGGGTACGGGAACACATCACCAGGATGCAGACGTAACCCACGAGTGCACAACAGGAAATCGTCTTCATTCGTGTCAGGGGACATGTTTGGTGGCGGAGGAGGAGGAGGAAGAGGAGAATGAGGAGGAGGACGAGGAGGAGGAGGAGGGGGAGGAGGAGGAGGAGGAGGAGGAGGGGGGCGACGAGGGACGAGGAGGAGGAGGGAGGCGCGAATAGTGGGCACGTGTGCAGGGGGGAGTCGGGAAGAGGGGAGGGACAACTGCTTTGAAACGCCCCGCGGCGTCAGGACCACGGCTGCCGCCTGCGGCGCTTCCTTTTTCGCGGTGCCGCCGGCAGCGCAATGGCCCTGGCGTTGTTATAACATTGCCGCCGACTACGTTTCGAACCACACGCCAGCGTGCCAGCGGCTGTACAATCATTCATCAGTGGCTGTGCCACACTGCACGGCTGCCCCCTTTCCTTCCTCCGCCTCCGCCTCCTCCTCCTCGTCCTCGTCCTCCGCCACGTCCCACATGTGACATGTGGTCCTCGCACGAGCGCCGTGCACATTCTTGTTTGATGCGGCACTGGTAGTTGTCAACATGTGACTGTCGCCTGAGCGCTGCGCATATTCGCCTTACACGCTTGCACCAATTCAAGGATGCAACACAGGTGATTCCACGCATGTGACTCTCGCCTTCGCGCCGCGCACATTGGGTTTACACGTTTGCAACAGCTTCAGAGATGGAGAGGGGGTCGTTTTCTAGATGTGGTCCTCGATTCAGCGCCGCACGCATTCGTGTCAAACTATTTCGGCAGCCTCAGGGAAAGAGGGCGGGTCCTTTTCAAATGGTGCCTCTGGCCTTAGCGCTGCGCGCATTCGATTCAAATGCTTGCAACAGGTTCAAGGATGGATTGGGCGGATCAACATGTGGCTTTCGTCTGAGCGCCGCGAGATTTTTTCAAGGTCTGCAACCGATTCAGGGATGGAGGGGATTGTTTTCAAACTGGGGCTATCGATTCAGCGCCGCGCACATTCGTTTCAACATGTGGCGACAGGAGCAAGGACGGAGCACAGCTGATTCTCAACATGAGGCTCTTGCCTTTGCGCCGCGCACACTCGTCTGAGACCTTCGCAACAGTTGCAAGGACGGGGCACAGTATTTTTCAACATTGGGCTGGCCGTAGCGCCGCGCACATTCATCTCAAACGCTTGCGACAGATACAGGAAAGGATAGCAGTTCTTTATCAGCATGTGGATCTCGCTTGGGGTTCTTTGAATTTGAAGGCCTGGAGTTTTTCATCTGCACGAGACGATGGCGGCTTCTTTTCAAACGGGAGTTCCCTCTTGATATTTTCCTGGCCTTACGTGTAATCATGTGAAACACCTTTGCTGATGGGGGGCGTTTTGTTTGAACACTGGATCTCGCTTCACAACACGCTGAAGTGTGTGATCATACGTTTCGCGTTCCTGGCTACGCACCATCTGGTTGGTATGCACATCCGGCGCTGGTCTTTACGGGGGGCGCGTCTTGTTGTGAGGAAGGACAGCTTGCAGGAGTACTGACGGGAGGGTATCTTTCAGCATCGATTCATCTTGGTATACAGCGTCTCCATCCTGGCATCGGCGTTTGGCCGTGCTCTTTCGCCTGCTGCCGCTCTCAACAGCGTTTGGCTGTGCCTCAATAGCGCTTCTGTAGTGCCTCGGCATTGCCTCTGTATGCCTCTTTCCTGTAATTTCTCGTGCTGGGGTAGGTTTACTTTGGTTCTCCTGTCTCCTCCTCCCTCCCTCCCTGCCCCCATGGACGCCCCCCCCTCCTACTCCCTTCTCCCTCCTTCTCCTCTCTCCCTCCCTCCCTCCTTTCTCCCCACTCCTCCTCATCCTCCTCTTCCTCCTCCGTTCCTTTTCCTCATCAATAATTCTTCCCCGTCGCACCCCGAGGCTGGTCGAAAGGGCGGGCCTGGCATTTCGCCTGAGACTTCCACACCATGTATGAGCCTGAAGTTTACCAAGTGACAGCAGTTCAACATATGGAGGGCGTGTCGTTTCCAACATGTGGTTCTCGCGTTATCGCCACGCGCATCCGTGTCAACAGGTTTAAGAGCTTCATGTATTGAGGGCGGGTGGTTTGCAACGTGTGACTCTTGCCTTAGCGCCGCGCACATTCGTTTCAAACATTTGGAAGATGTTCATGGATTGAGGGCGGTTCATTTTCAAATTGTTGCTCTCGCCGCAGCGCCGCGCACAATCGTCTTAACCATTTGCAAGAGCTTTACGTATTTCCATGGGCAGCATTCCAAATGTGTTTTGGAAGGTTCAGGATTGTGAGGGCGCAACGGTTGCGTTGGTTCGCGGTGCCGAAGTCACAGAATTGATGTTCTGGCGCGATTCCGTTTCGTGGCGTTGGAATCCAGATAATGTTTTGGTTTGGTTTGCTTCAGAGTCTTCCAACAAGCGGCTGTCTCCCAACAAGGCAGTTCCCCCAGGGGAAGTAAACCTTCGTACTTACGCAGGGGCTTGTGATGAGGGAGCTTGGAGGGAGGGCTTCTTCCAACATCGCTGATGAGTCTTGGGTTTGCACTGGTCCTCCTCCTCCTCCTGCTTCTCCTCCTCTTCTTCTTATTATTCTTCCTCTTCCTCTTCCTCTTCCTCTTCCTCCTCCTCCTCCTCCTCCTCCTCCTCCTCTTCCTCCTCCTCCTCCCTCCCCCCTCCCTCCTCCCCCACCCCCCGCTCCTCCCCCCCTCCCTCCTTCCTTCTCCCCCTCTCCTCTTCTCGTCCTTCCCTCGCCCCTCCCTCCTCCCCTCCCTCCTCCCCCCCCTCCTCTCCTCCTCGAGGGACGCGCTTTGCCCACCACCCTCCCGCCTGACCGCGCTGCTCGGCCGGGCGGGGCGGGGGTGGGGGGGGCACATCGCCGCCTGCCGCGCGGCTCCTCTCCGGGAGGCCCCTCGCCGCGCTCTCCCGGGGACGACGGGGGGAGGAGGAGGGCTCGGCGAGGGAGGAGGGCTCGGCGAGGGAGGGGAGGGAGGGAGGGAGGGAGGGAGGGAGGGAGGAGGCGGAGGAGGAGGAGGAGGAGGACGGGGGGAGGAGGAGGAAGGGGATGGGAGGAGGAGGGGAGGGGAGGGAGGAGGAGGGGGGAGGAGGAGGGAGGGGAGGGGAAGAGGAGGGAGGAGGGGAGGGGAGGGGAGGGGAGGGCCGTCTTGGAAGCCGTCTGGGCGTCTTGGAGGCCTCTTGGGCCGTCTTGTGGGCCTTCTTGGGGTCGTCTTGGGGGCCTCTTGGGCCGTTATGGGGCCATCTTGGAGGCCTCTTGGGCGATCTTGGGGCGGTCTTGAGGGTCCTTTGGGCCGTCGCGGGTCATCGGAAGGTCGAAAAGAAGCGGAGCATCAATGATCTTGGCCTCTTCGGGCCTTCCTAGAGGCCCGCTTGGGGGCCTCTTGGGCCGCCTTGAAGGCATCTTGGGGGCCTCTTGGGCCGTCTTCTGTTATCTTGAGGCCATCTTGGGCCATCTTGGAGGTTGCTTGGGCAAACTTTGAGGTATCGTGGACGCTCTTGGACCGTCTTGGAGACCATCTTGGAACATCTTGGGCGAACTGGACGGCCATCTTGGCCATTTTGGAGGCCATCCTGGGCCATCTTAGACCCTTCTGTAGTGGAACAACGTTTGCAACCACCTTGGCAAGCCTTCGGGTGGCCGACGCGCTGTGCCGAAGCCCCAGGGAGAGTTCTAGAAGAACCAGAAACCTCCTGAAGTTTGCCATGCACCCCTGTGGCAAGCCAACAGGGGGCGGCGGATCGAATGGCCTTCGGCCCATCCAGCCCCCGTGCCTTGGTTTTGGGTAATTTTCCTCAGGGATGCTTCGTGAGGTCTTCTCGGAGCGCTCTCGGGGGTCTCAGGGGGGCAGTGGCCTCGTGGGGCCCTGTGGAGGGCGTCTTGGGATCCCTTTGGGGGCCCCTTGGGGCTTCCTGGGGGCCTCTTAGAGGCCTCTTGGGGCCTGTTGGGGGCTTCTTGGGGGCCTCTTGGGGCCTCCTGGGGGCCTCTCGGGGCCGCGGGCTCGAAATATCCGTTCGGGTCCCCCGTCTGGGTCCCCTCTTGGAGCCGTCTTGGGGGCCTCTCGAACAGTCTTGGAGGCCTCTTGGGTGTTGGGGCCCTCCTGGAGGCCTCTTCGGCTGTCTTGGGGCGATACTGGGGGCCTCTCAGACAGTCTTGGAGCGTCGGGAAGCCGAAAAGGCGAGAACGCCAAAATCTAAAGCCACATCGGAAAATCACATAATTTGTGTTGGCTCTTGGGGCCCTCTTGGGATTGCTTTTGGGGCTCCCTTGGAGCTTATTGGGGGCCTCTTTGGCCGCCTTGTAGCTATCCGGGGCGCCTGCGAGCGATCATGGTGCGACTCACGGCCTTCTTGGACCACCTGGGCGACCTCCCGGGGCTTTCTTGGCCCGTTTTGGGACCCTCCTGGCTCCCATCAGGCGCACGCGACACACCCCAGGATCTCTCGGGAGCTCCCGGAAACTCCCAGGACCGCCCGGGGAACTGGTTGTTCGGGCCCTCGAGGACCTTACGAGCCCTTTACATCCCTCAGAGATGCATGAGCCTCGGGCAGGTCGAGGGCTGACCCTGGCAGGTTGTTTATTTTGCGGATGTCATCAGCCTCGAACTTATCCCTATCCCTAAGATTGAAACTTCCAAAGGCGATGACAATCTTAGGGATGCGCCCTGAAACACTAAGGGGATCCCTAAGATTGGCACCGTGATGAGGCGATGCCCAGCTTAGGGACAGGGATATGTTCTAGGCTGGTAAGGATGGGCCTCTTCTCCCTTCGGGGCCTCGCGTCCGCAGCATGGCGGGCGCGGAGCCTGGGCACCCCGGGGAGGAACCGCCGGCGAGGTGTGCCCTTGCCCGTTCGCGCCGAGATGGTTCGGGGGAAGAGAACCATGCACATGCACCGATCCTGACAACGCCCATCCTTGACCCAGGATTGGTGCATATACCTTCCTGGCCAAGGTAAGGGGGCGTATGCACCGATCCTGGGCTCAGGATGGGCCTGGCCAGAATCGGTGTATGTGCATAGTTCTCTTTCCTCTGGACGGCGAGGATGTCTCGAGCGGTTCGCTCGCGTGGCGTCCCCACGCCTCTCGTCTTCCCCTTTCCTTCCCGCCTGGTGCCCCCTGCTCTTCGCCTCCCTCCGCGGCAGCATGAGGCTCTGCCTTCTCTGTGGAGCTTGGCAGTCTGGAGGCGTGGGCGTGGAGCTCCGAATGGTTCCCCTGCTCACATTCGGGTCCGCGCAGACTCGGCCAGGCCATATTCGGAGTCGTGCGCACAGCCCGCTCGCGCAGTGCTCATTCGCACGCTCAGACCGACTCACACCCAGGCTCGGTCTTGCTCCCGGTGCCGTATATTCATCCCTCGCGCGCTCATGCCCGCGCAGACTCCCTCGTACTCAGACTCCTTCATACTCAGACTCAGCCGCGCTCAGACTCACTCACCTTCGGACCCACTCACACTCGCATTCACGCACACTTGGACTCATCACGCTCGTACCTCTCACAGTCAGATGCGGTCAAGACATTTTTTGGGCGCACTCCACGGAGGAGCCGCCAAGGGGTGCTACAGTGGGCCTTTGCGGCCAGATTGTGGGGAGGTCTCAAGCAACACGCTGGTCTTGGCTTTTCGTCTCCTCTCTTCTCAGAGTTCCATTGCCACCGCGGTATGTCATTCATGGCAGAAATTGGAAACACAGAACAAGACATTGGCAGCACTAACAAGACATTGGAAGAAGAATTCGCAAAACAAACATCGTCAATCATAAGCAAGCAAGATCACCCAGTTATCCCAATGAAGAAGCCGGCAGGGAGCGTTCCGTCGCCACAGGCTAAGAGACTCCCACGCAGACGCTCACAGCGTAACGTGCCACCAGGCCATGAGATGGACATGCTGGGATGTCCGAATGTACAATTAGTGTGAAGTCGGGCCTGTCCCTCTACAGGAGGAATGTTCAAAACTAGTCAAAACATAGTCGAGAGGCGATTTCCGATTTGTGTTGGCAACTTTAACATTTCTTGACTAGATTTTACATTTCGTCCAACATGCGCCTGTACTGGGACATGCCCGACCTAACATTTGTGTCATCAGCGTGTCCACGTGCCACCAACTCTACCCGTCAGAGTCACAGCTGCGCGTCCCGCTTCGGCGCAACACTCACACGGCCGTTCCTGTTATCAACATGCTGTGTTGCGACAACTTTCAATTTGTTTCCTGCAGCGAGGTTGCTTACATGGATTGGAATCTACGCCAGCTTGTTTGTCTTCCTGGTTGGGATTCGCCACGCATGCGGAGTGTGACACTTATTGCTGCTGGTTGGTTGTGTGTTTAAACGGGCGATGGAGAAGGCAAAGGGGGGTACAGGGGTTCGATGGAGAGGGAGAGGACAGGGGATGGCGGGGGACATGGACCCGCGGAGGGACAAGGAGATGGAGGAGGGGGAAATGGCGTGTTGAGGCTGAGGCGAAGGGGTTGGGGACCGTTGGAGGGGGGGGGGTATGGAGAACAGGAGGGGGCAGGTGGCGCGGAGGGGAGGGAGTCCAGGGGAGGAGGGGGACAAGAACATGTGTGTGGTGGATTCTGGAGAGGGAGGAGAAGGTAATCGGGAGGCATCTCGTGGTCCTCTTCTCAACCTCCTCCTCCTCTTTCTCCTATGCCTCTTCCCTCTCCTCCTCATCCTGCTCCTCTTCCTCCTCCTTCTCCTCTTCCCCCTCCTTGCATCGCCCCTTGTTGCCCCACTTACTGCTGATGTCTCCGTTGCATGTGTGACCTTCATCGTGCGAGTGGCCTCTTCGCTCCAATCGCGTGCGCCTGAGACAAGAGTGTGTGCGTGTGTAAGTGTAAGTGTACGTGTAAGTGTAAGTGTTCGTGTAGGTGTACGTGCAAGTGTATGTGTAAGTGTAAGTGTACGTGTAATTGTAAGTGTAAGCGTAAGTGTATGTGTAAGTGTAAGTGTAAGTGTATTTGGAAGTGTACGTGCAATTGTAAGTGTAAGTGTACTTGTAACTTTACGTGCAATTGCAATTGTAATTGTAAGTGCACATAGCATTGTAAGTATAAGTGTAATTGTAAGCGTAAATGTACGTGCAAGTGTACGTGTAAGTGTATTTGTACATGTAAATGTAATTGTAAGAGTAAGTGTAAGTGTAAGTGTAAGTGTAAGTGTAATTGTAAGTGTGTGTGTGTGTGTCTGTGCGTGTGGGTGGTCGGTGTTTAAGCTGTTATGCTCTGTTGCCGCATATGCGCGGTCTTCGGGTGTTCCCAGGTCAGCTGCGCAGCTTCCTTGGGAAACTAGCTTCTGGGTTGAACTCATCGGCGCGTCGAAGGAAAAGAGCGCGTTTTTGTCCAGATAGGTTTCTCGAATGCCCCTGGGCCCTCAGAGGCCTATGTGGTGTGGGGGAAACAGCCGTCTCGATTTTCTGAGACGCTCCATCTGGAGGAGCTCTCTGTTGATGCCCCTGGAGATCCTCCCGTGGTCTCCGGCCCAACCGAAAACGACAACACACCGTTCCAAATATTTGTTCTGCATGGGCCATTGACCAAGGGGGGGATTGAACTTCCATCGAAGCCTGCCCATCCCCCCCCTTTTCCTCCTCCTCCTCCTCCTCCTCCTCCTCCTGCGCCTCTTCCTCCTCCTCCGCCTCCCCCCGTCTACTTCTTTCCCCCGTTCCACCCGTCCCACCCGCTCCGACAGCACGTGCCCAACCACCTCAGCGGATCCAAGGGAGGGGGGGCGCGATTGATGCCCCATCCGGGTGATTCCTCGATCCTTCATCGTCTATTTTGAGGAGGGCCGGGTGTGGGCGCCAATCACACCCAGGCCCACGGCCCAGCAGCTCGGGCCCACATGCCCCGCCCCCGCGGATGCAGGGTGGCTCTGCTCGGATGCCCCGCGCGGAACGTGTCCATGTTTTTTTTTCTCCGAGGCGGGAATTTATACATGACCACCGCCTGGAGGGTCAGTTTTCGGAGCCTCGGCAGGCGGTGGATATGGATACATTCGGGCCCCCGGGGGCCGAAATATATCCATGTCCACCGCCCGCTGGGGCACCAGGACGTCGGTTCCCAGGCTGTGGATATGGATAAATCCCCGCCTCGCATCTTTCCCCTCTGGCGTGCAACGGGTTACCCATCGGTCGTTGAAAGTAGGTATCTTTGGATTTCCAGACTCCAATCTACTGTAAGCGCCTTCCTACTTGGAGAGTCGAGCGGCTTTCCCTCTTCCCTCCTCTTCAGGGGGCGGGCGGACGCCCACTCTGCTTCCAAGGCCTTCCTGCTTCAGGTCTCTACCAACTTCTTCCGACCGATGGGTAGTTACCCGGCCCCCCCACCCCGGGCACGGGTAACGACCGTATTTATCGGGCGAAGAGAGCTATGCACATGCACCGATCCTGGCAAGGCCCATCCTTGACCCAGGATCGGTGCATATGCCTTCCTGGCCAAGGTAGGAGGGCGTATGCACCGATCCTGGGCTCAGGATGGGCCTGGCCAGAATCGGTGTATGTGCATAGTTCTCTTTCCTCTATATTTAGGGGGGGAGGGCTGTACCCTCCTCGCACATGCTGGTGCTCGCGCGCGTGCCGTTGCGACCGCGGCGTGCCCCCGCCCCGACGTGCCCCACCCTGCCCGGGCGCTCGGCTACCCGAGGCGCAAGCCTCCGGCGATCGCAAGCATGTATCCAGGGTGATGAGCCTGTTCTCCACCACCACCATAAGTTGGAGGGGGAAGGGGGGAGAAGGGGGAGGAGGAGGAGAAGAAGGAGGAGGAGGAGGAGGACGAAGGGGAGGAGGAGGAGGAGGGGGAGGAGGAGGAGGAGGAGGACGAAGAGGAGGAGGAGGAGGAGGAGGAGGAGGAGGAGGAGGAGGAGGAGGAGGAGGACGAGGAGGACCCCCCCCCAACTTATGGTGGTGGTGGTGGTGGTGGTGGTGGTGGAAAACACGCCCATCAAAGGGGGCGTGGATTAGCGACGGGTCGCGTTTCCATGGGGATTCGCGGACTTCGGCCGCCGAGCGAGGCGGCACCGGCCGCATTTTGGGGACCGAGCGCCGAGTCGATGGATCGCCATTCCATGTTTGCGGGTCCCCCATCGCCCATCCCCCCCCGGGGTAACGACCATTACCCGGAAAAAAACAATGTCCTTGCGATCGCGTGTCCACGGGGTCATGCCTCGGTCCAGTGTCCTTCGCCTGAGGGGGCACCGGGACACCATACGTCACGGAAGAGTGCAACATCACCAGACATCACGACCAGGGCCTTAGACCCAATTTTCTGAGGCATTTTTTGAGGCGGATCGATGTGCGATGGTGCCAGGGCCCGAAATTCGGCGTCAATCCAACATACTTATACTATCTGTACGTCGCCCCCCAGGGGCGACGCGCGCACCGAGAATCTTATAGTCTATACGTCGTGGCGGGCCCTTTCTGGCCACACCGCTCGGAAAACGATATACTACAAGATGAGTGTACTATATGTTTGAGTCGGACGCGCGCCTCCAAGGAGGACATATCGTATCAGTATGTCTCTCTGCGTCCCAGAAATCCATCACAGGCGCTCGGTATGAAACAGTGCACCGCCCAGATCGCAGGGCATAGGGCAGGGCTGGGCTCGTCGCCCGGGATCTCGGTGTCCGGCTCGGCGTCCCCCCGAGGCGCTTGGGGGGCCTCCCGGGTCCGCAGACACGCTAACGGCGATGTAGGCAACAGCGGTGTAGGCAACAGCGATGTAGGCTTCAGTCGGGCCTGTCCCTCTACAGGAGGAATGTTCTCAGATCGTAGAAAATTAGTCTGGGGATTATTTTTTGAGTATGTTTGGAATACTTCTGAATATTTCTGG